TCACCTATAATCAAACCTAGACGTCAGATAAACAGATCACGCAGTCCCTTTATGATTAAGAGGATGAGGAATTGGTCTGAGCAGTTGTGATCGGCCGTTGAGAATAAATATTGCGTGTTTAGTAAATAAAATAGTCCCGCCACACGGTGTATATACATAGAAAGGTGTTCATCTGTTAGTTTATATACACTGAGAGACGTATTACACTTATTGGATATACACTAAAATATGTGTGTTTATTTTTAGTGTATATATACCGTTATGCGTGTATCTTTCATTGTCTGTACACCTAGAGGAATTCATATATGTGTTCATACAGTGTACATAAACCAAAAGTCGCATATATATATATATATATATATATATATATATATATATATATATATATATATATATATATATATATATATATATATATATATATATATATATATATATATATTACATACATATATTCGTATATGGAATACCAGTCATCGCTCCCAACGTGCATGGGGCACCTTAACTCGGTTCTCGACGTACATGGGATACCAGTATTCGGCTGGTTTGTTGTCATCCCACTACGAGTGGCTTGATTGGCAGGCTTCTCAGCGCAGCGCCATTAGCTTTTACGATGTGTTCTATGTAACGACTGTCGGATGCCTAAGCAGGCCTAATATAGCCGTCACACAGCTGGTGACGCGTACCTCCAGTCTGGAGGCAGAGGAGGCGCACTCATTGTTTTAGCACGTATGTTGGGCACGATTGGCAGGAGGCGACTGACAAGGACAACTGACAGGTAGGCTGACAGGTAGGCTGACAGATCGGCTGGACAGATCAGCTGACGGGCACAACTGAGGGAAATCTGACGAATTCCTCGTGCGGATTTAGCACTTCCTCATATATGCAACACTGCAATAATAACCGATGTGACACTTTTTTCAGACCAGTTAGTATCCAAAGAAAGAAAGACTTAAATTTTTATTAAAAATAATTTTTAAATTTTACCAAAATTTGTGTGGAAAAGTTCGATTACATAAGTAAAAACAAGAAACAAGCCAGTGAAACAGTTCCCACTTATAAAAAAATTTTTAGCTATGAATATATATATATATATATATATATATATATATATATATATATATATATATATATATATATATATATATATATATATATATATATAATATATATATATATATATATATATATATATATATATATATATATATATATATATATATATATATATATATATATATATATATATATATATATATATATATATACCATTCCCGGTACACTATGTTGGTTATCATATCATCCATGGTACACTGTCTTGATTACCATCCCCTGCACAATTTTGCATACCATCTTCGGTACAAAATCCTAGACACCATCCCCAGTACAACGTTCTATATGCCACCCAGGTATACTGTCCTTGATGTCATCCCTGCACACAGTCTGGATAACATCCAGAATGGTACACTGTTCTGGATGTTATCCATGGAGAAGAATGGAACCCGCAAAAGGTCAAACAGCACCTATGGGATATGAAGAAATTAAGTTAAATCCATGGAAGTTGAAGGCCGAAAAGAAGTGGATTGCGGCACTTCGCATCCCATTTTAGATGGTACGTAATCGGACTACAAACACAGGCTAGACCATACGTCGCTTATCTTCAAGTTACCTGACAGCAGGGCTACGTCGAGACGAATGGCTATTACCATTGTTTAGATCTGAACATAAGTCAAAAATAAGAAAAAGAGAGGGTGAAAGAGCGAGGGAGAAATGAGAAACAAGGAAATGGAAACACATATAATATATATATATATATATATATATATATATATATATATATATATATATATATATATATATATATATATATATATATATATATATATATATATATATATGTATATATATATATATATATATATATATATATATATATATATATATTATATATATATATATATATATATATATATATATATATATATATATGGACTAGCCAAAAGTGGTGCTTCTCAGGGATGAGCGCTGAACCCCTTATTTGAAATATTTATAAACAACTTTGATAAAAGAACAAAAAAGGCATAATACCTACGCTTGTTTATGACACCATAATGGACCTACAATCGAATTCGAAGACTAGACGGAGCTAGTAACAATGGCTTCTAGTTGGATAAAATTAGATTCTGAAAGGTTATGGGAAATAACTTATTTTGCAGTGAAGATGAACATGACTGTAAGAAAGTGATGAGGTAAACAAGCAAGCTTATTCAGGTACAGGTACATATAAACACAGTTACATAAATTAACGTATGTGTAGATTTCCTAGAATAACCCAAAAAATCAAAGTGACATATTTCCAATGGTGTCCTTGACCAAGCTAATGTAGTTAACTTACAGAACGGACAGTTGGTAGTGTTATTATTGCATTTATTTTGGGCAGGTTTAAAATGAGGTATAAACAGTAGTCAGAGAGGTAACATGAAAGGGTTTGTTTGTAAATGAGTAGGAAGTACCTACCATGAGCCAGTAGGTCTACTATAGTAATGATGGCCTGCATATATTTTTGATGATTCTGATATTTCGTGGAGAAATAATAACAATTGTGGACCATCTGATGATTTTCAAAAATTAAACAATCTTTGATTCAAAATTGAGTTATGTGATTAGAGACGAGAAGAAAACTAAATAATTAAATGAGAGCGAGAGAGAGAGAGAGAGTACTCATCTATACGTGAGTACACACACGCACACTCTGTATGTATGTGTATATATATATATATATATATATATATATATATATATATATATATATATATATATATATATATATATATATATATATATATATATAGTTGTGTGTGTAAATACACAGGAAGAGATGGTAATGTGTGGTTACTGCCAGCAACCTCCCAGTCCTCCCATTCCCCGTGAGCACCTTCACCAGCTCGGTGTCCCTCTCGTAAATAATTGTCGAATTACATTCCTTAACTTGCTACGCGCGTCGCTTCGCTCCCTCTGGCAAGTTATGGCTACAAAACACACGAGTTAAGTGTTGTAATTCCCTCACCAACCTTCTGTTTTCAATCGCCAATTATCATCACATTATTGCTGGTAATCCTTCCACAGGAAGGCATAAATAAGGAGGAACAAGTATGTTAAATCGAGGCAAAAGCTTACTATCTTCATCACGGAATAAATTTGAAAAGGTCTGTCGATTGCCTTGAAAATTATATTGTAGCTACTATCACTATAGTTACAGCTCAAGCCTAAACATTGGCAAGTCATTGGAAATATACATGGGATGCAGTGCCATTTCCTGAGGTTGTGTTTAAGTTAATGTTTCCTGTGACCATATACGAGCTCTCGTTTATTGTGTATATGTTTGTGCTACTGTTTCTTGTGTTTATATGTCTACTATCTTTTATTGTAGCCATGTCTGAATTTCTTTTAATTGCCATGAGTGTGCTACTGCTTCTTCTAGTTATGTTTTGTGATACTGTCACTCTTACATTTATAAACATAAAATTGTATAGATCTCTTCCATCTTCCCTTTCCCAAATCTGTCCCAAATATTTTCAGTTATTTTCCGCAGCACTGAGGATATTAGAAATGAAAAGGTACGTTTACTACTCTCCGAGCTTAATGACTCATACGAGCTTAGCTGTTCAAGTTAATATAATAATAATAATAATAATAATAATAATAATAATAATAATAATAATAATAATAATAATAATAATAATAATTATTATTATTATTATTATTATTATTATTATTATTATTATTATTAATAATATTATTATAATGTAACAATAATGATAAAAGTAATAATAATAGTTATTGTTATTATTATTATTATTAAACATTGATAATAATAATAACAATTCGTTACTGTTTGCGTATGCTTTGTCACTCGTAAAATAAATGGCAATGCAGAAAGCTAAACAAGACAGGCAGACAGACAATTTCCCTTCCTAATTAGCTTTCTTATCTAACATCTAATACAATATATTTCTGTGCGGTCAGGAGGAAGGCTGGGAGGTGTGACCACTCTCAGGCAGTATGATGCGTGTCACGGCCAACTGGTAATTCGAGAATCCTTGCTGTTAAGGGAAGCGAGAAAGAGGAGACGTTGACAACGGCAAAGGGGAAAGGAGAAGGTCAAAGGGAGGTGGTACGAGGTTACATGGACTAAGAGGACAGGGGCAGGAAGGAGAACTAGGGGCTAAGGGGCTAGGGAAGAGGGAGTGGAGAGGAAATATGAGTTAGCAAGGTTTATAACACTAGGTTGTAAGTTTCTGAGATGTTCGGCTTGATGCTGTGATCATTATCCTTCATAAGAAGAAGCGTTAAACCCGTCTGGGTTAGAGAGTTCCTAGGGGAATAGGAGGCAATCCGACTTCATTCATGGGAAAAGGAGAATAGAGCCAAATCGTTGGAACAAGAACCCATGTTCACGTAGGTTTGCCAGGACGAGTCCTGGCCCAGGCCTTCTAACATCAACAACCCCTCAGCGGCATCAGGGAACGGGTCACCATCTGGAAAAGACCCAGACCGGGACATGTACTGGTGAATCATTCAAGTTCAAGGCATCATGGAACTTCCCGTGAGAGGCTGGAGGCTGGCATGATCGAGCGAGAGAGGTGGAACACCGCCCGCTGTGCTGCACTCACGCTTGGTATTGAAATCTCCTGAAGCAATGAGGGAAAATAATTTTTTTTTTCTGATCGTTGACAAAGAGGGGAAATTATTTTTTTTATTCCTCTTACATAATGATTTTCTTTTTAATGAGAAGGAAAACTTTTCTTCTTTTTAACATTTTTTTGTGGGAAGCGGAAAATAAATTTATAATATTTAATGGGCACCACTAAACTCTGACGTCTGTTCAGTGCCTTGGAAATTGGAAATTCACATGTTTGATTAGAGGAAGGACAGGGTAGTTCCAAATCCTTGGATCAAGAGCTCTTCACACAGTGTGGGTTGTATTTTATAAGGCTTACCTGACCCGGCGACGTGGATCTTCTTCATCCAGGGGTAGATGACTGGCTGACCGTTGGCATCCAGCTCCGTGACCGCCTCCTCGGGGGAGCCTTCCACGCCCCCAGCACCCATATGCTGCGCCATCTGCGCCCCCATGCTGCCTCCCCCGCCCGCACTACCCGCAGAGGGATCTGGCGATGCCACTGGGGAGCGTGGGGGCACTTGGTGCTGTTGCAGTGGGCTGTGGCAGGGGGCAAGCTGTGGGCTGATGTGGGCGGCCATGGGTTGATGCTGGGGCATGACACACGCTTGCTGGTAGTACCCTGCATGGTTGTATTGCATAGCCTCGCGGCCATACTGCATGCTGGCCTGGTGCATGCCATGGTAGGAGTAATGCTGGGCAGGGTTGTAGTAGTCACTCTGAGGTGGGATGTAAGAGTTCTGGCTGTACTCCTCCGGCGGTGGGAATTTGGGGTCCACGTACGGGCCAGAGTTCATCAAAAACGAACTCATCGTCATTAATTTTTGGTGATTTGGAGCCAAATAATATTACTTGAGAGTAGTGCCTGGACTGTTGGTTTTGACTCCTCCTAGCACTGATAATTAGCATAGCACGTGATCTGCGAGCACCAATACCAGGGTTCCGGGTGACCCGCGCTGGCTACGTCACCATGATTAATGAATGGAGAGAACGAACCACCAGGGCTGGTCGGGCTGTGCGCGCATCCCGACCCGACCACCCGACCGATCGCCACAAGTCTCCGATAAGCACTGAGGCCCGGGGGTGGAGTTCTCCTGACGACGGAGCAGCAGCGGCTGCAGGAGCCGAGGGGCGGGCACCTGGGCAGGGCAAATGGGCAGTACCACCTGCCCTTACAACCTACTCTCACTAGGCTCACTCACTGCACTGATCGATGGCCTTCTGTTCACGTGTGCTTCGTCCAACAGCCAGACGATGATTGGCGTTGATTTACTGCCGGCCGGGGCCCATGTGTGTTTGTGACCTGCGCACTGCCACTGCGCACCTCCAGGCAAGGGTTAACATGCCCCCCTCCCCCATCCTCTTCTTACTTAAGACGACTGTGTGTGCGCGGCCGATGATTGGCCCCCCACCCCTCTCTTGGATCCGCCACTCAAGTGGGTTCACTTGGTCTGCCTGCAGCCGCTATTGGCCACACTTGGTCTTCTGTTAACGACGGGAACACTTGGACCAATTTGGCCTGACGTGTCTGTCGCCGAGGTCCGACGGTGACTGCTGGCGTCTTGTGTTCCGGTCCGTCGCCGTGGTAGGCGGCCGCTACTTCCGTTGCAGCCGCTGCAGGATCACCAGACAAGGCTTCTCCGTGAATGTTATGGTGGATATGTCACGGCACTCCCGTCCGGCCGCCCGGCTCACACCGATACAATTAGCGAAGTGACAGAGGGCGGGGAAGAACGCGCGAGCTGTGGAGGCGACAGAACGAGAGGAGGGGCTCCGGTACCTCACCTGTAGCCTCCGCCTCTCTCTCCCGGCCCGCGGAACTCCCATGAGACCCGCTAGTGAGAAAAATGAACCAATTGTATCGGCGAGTGCTCCCTCACATACGTTCGTCACATACCCGAGTGTCGACCAGTTGTCCCACACAGTGCTTGTGCTCAGCTATCACCTCCCACGCTCCGTATGTGCGTGCATAGGTGTGCCCAAGATTGTAATGAAGGAAATTACATGTGGCTTATCTACAGCGCGTGAGAAGGAATATTCGTAGCAGCTTTTAGTGAACCTTTTGTCATAATACATTTGTACGGTGGCTGATTGATATAATGATAAGGTAAATAACAGCTCTGAGGAATGGAGGACGTGCTAATATGTTTTTATGGCCTGCCTTATAAACATAAATTGTTTTAAAAGAGTTCAAAGATATTTTATCTCTTAATTGCATAATGTTATATGTGAAGCCGAGTATTAAAGACGCTTATTTTACAACCCTCTTAAGTGTTTATCGCACTGTTTAACACATTACTAAGTGCAAATGAATTTATAAGTACTGTTAACGTATTTATCACATTAATTATCACATTGCTATATATAAATGAATTTATTATCTCAGCAAAAAAATTATTAGTACCGAAGCCAGGCCATAAGTTACAATACAACAAAATTGTCCAAGTCATTCCTGCATAAAAAAATAAAAAAAAATATTTCAAGTCCTTCAGAAAATGTGCTAACAGCCAAAAAAAAAGAAAAAAAAAAAGTCAGAGGTAGAATGTCATATGAATGCCATTTCTAAGGTCTGTCATTACAGTGGCCATTTTCCCATGTACACAAAAATAAAACACTCCCCACCGTTTCTCAGGCTGTTGCTCAATGTAAAAATTGTCGCACGAACTTTGCATAATACCTGGTTTTGCCTCATTTTGCATAATGCGTGTTTTTTTAAATTGCTGTTGTAGCCTTGGAGAGTGTGTGGGAGAGTCCGAATGGACAGGACCGGATACAGGGTGGATTCATGTGGGCAGCGGTGGCAATGCCGGATACAGGGGAAGTTCAGATGTACAGTATTGGCAGTGCAGGGTACAGGGCTGATAGGGTGCGGTGTCATGGCTGGATACAACAGTAGCAGGGCCGGGTGTATGAATGGTTCGGAAAGCTATGGGTAGAGGACCTGGTATAAATAATTCGGATAGCTAGCGGTGGCATGGCCGGACAGGGATACTTCGGATAGCTAGTGGTGACAGGGCCGGATGCAGGAATGACCAGGACACAGTCGCCTCGCAGTTTTAAGTTACCACAAATGATAATGTAGGCACATCGGAAGTAGCCTGGTTCTTCCTACCTAGTAATTAGTTCTAATTTGTACCTGAAAACCACTCACACACATACACACCTGATCTTATGTTTATCTCTCATTATACCTGGCCCGTCCCTCTTCTCTCCTCCACTTCTTCCCATCACTTAAAAACTAATAAGAAACTTGAAGACATTGTTCCTCACCTCTTCTAGTATATTATACCGGTGTAGCAACTTTTTACACTCCTGAGTGGAACAAACTTCTAAGTGACAGAATAAAAACAAGCGGTTTTTATTCTGTCAGATATTTTAAAAATTCGTTAGACAAATGGGTGAATAGAAACGGGTAGGCGTGAAAAAGATGTGCATAGAATAGGCCAATAGGCCTACTGCAGTAGTCATATGAAAAGAGTGAAGGCGTACTGCAGTAGGCCTTCTGGCCCGTGATAGGCACTTCTCAAATCCAAACCTTCTCGTTCATACTTACGTTTATTTTTAAGGCTATAATGGCTCTACTTGGTACATTGTTCCACCAATTTATAACCCTATTGCTAAATCAATACTTTCCTGACTTCTTTCCATATCTAAATTTACCCAAATTAAACCCGTTGTTCCGAGTTCTTTCTTGGTTTGATATTTTTACCAGCTTATTTATAACTTCTTTGTTTAAATCTCACTTCCACTTGCAGACTTCAATTATATCTCCCCTCCTTCGTCTTTCAAGAGCTTGTAGGTTCAGGGCTCTCAGTCTATCTCAAAATGAACGATGCCTTATGCAATGGATTTAATTTGTCATCCTTCCCTCTATGTTCTAATATGGATTTATATAAATTATGTAGTACGAGGACCAGAGGTGAGCTGAATATTTTAACGGATGCCTTACCGCATAGAGCTTTCGAATAATATTTGGACTCAAGTTACTTATATATCGTGATATAAATAAAAACATGGTAGTTTATTACCTATAGATTAGAAGAACACAAAACATTATTTTGAAACTATTCAGACTATGGTTCACCTGCACAGCAAGCATTTTAAAGTTAATAAAAAAACGCTATTTTTTGTGTCTTTATCATCTACAATTCGTCGGTGTTCCCATGCCATTTAGTGCTATATAGTCTGCTAGTTTTATTAAGTATCCTTAGACGCTGCTGTCTTAGCTTCAGATTTCTGATGATGACCTGACAAATTCTAATCACAGAACTGGTGGGGCTCGAACCCATGGCAGGCAAGGCTTAGTATCATTCTTCCAATGCATTATTCTGCGTATTATGTGGCATTAGCTGATTTATTCATGTTGCTTTTTATACTCTCGTCAAGGTCATTATCGTAAATTACTAGCAGCAAGAGCCCAAAACTTATCCTTGTGGAATGCCTTTTGAAATATGTCTCATTAGGATTTTATCCCACTAATACAAACTCTTTGCTTTCTACTAGTCAACTATGCCTCGATCCTTGAGATGTTTCCCTCCAATACCATGTGCTGCCACTTTCTGTAAAAGTTCTGTGAGTGATTCTATAAAAACACTTCAAGGAAATTAAAATAAATAACATTGTATTCTTTATCATGATCTACTGCCTCAAACAATTTACTGAAGGTCAGTAAATTGGTAAGGCAAGATTGGCCCCGTATTTAACTATTAAATTATCTTCATTAAGGTGGCTTTTGTTTATACAGGCTATTATTTATTATAATAATTTACCTACTATTAAGATCTGGCTTCTTGTGCAGTAATTTGATAGTATAAACTTTGTTCTTGATTTTAAGACTGGAATTACATTAGCCATCTTCCACAAAAATCCAGAAAAAAAATTCACTTTCTCTGTACAAGAATGACTGACTGAAAGACCATTAGATCTACTACAGTTCTCCTTCATTATTATATTACTATATTCATGGGAAGCTCTAAATTCATATGGATTATACCGTGTCTGGGAGATCATAAGGACTGATCCGAGAAAAAGAAGCATATCACCAATTGTAAAGTAAAAGGACACAAGTGCAACTAATGTGACATTTTATTGTGGCAGCGTTTCGCTCTCCAGGAGCTTTGTCAAGCCGTTACGGCTTGACAAAGCTCCTGGAGAGCGAAATGTTGCCACAATAAAATGTCACATTAGTTGCACTTGTGTCCTTTTACTTTACATATTGTCGTTAATTCAACCAACTTTATTACATAACACCAATTCCTTGACTCAAAAACCTTTGACTAACATTAACAACACAAGTGCAACACTTGGGTATCATTAAGGCTGAAATGTTTCACCTGTGCAACGGACTTTATTGCTCAGTTACAGAAGTAGTTTTTAAACTGGAGACAGTGGAAGAAATGGAGAGAAGAAATTTTAAGGCGTTTAGTCTCTCATGATAAACAGTGTTCAGTTCCTTAGCCATGATGAAGAGAGTGCTTCTCTATGCAAATTGGAAAAACATCTCTAAATTCCTACACCCGGCAGTGCTAAATATCTGCCTGCCGACACCTCCGTTGTATACATCTTCCACGTAACTCAGAAAATGCAGTGCATGCTCTCCACCTCCTTGACAATAACAAAAATAAAAGAGGCAGCCACTTGATATCACGGTGGAGATATGGAGTCTTGATTATTTTTGATACTCTATACTCATATACAATTATTTTACAATCACGAAGATGGATTGTTTAGGTGTAAGCTTCAACACATCAACGCATTGCTATATATTTTTATTGTAATGGAGTTCTGTCGATCTCTCGTCGGCTTTATTTTACGATAGATTTCTCTCATGTAAAATTATTTTATATAATAGTTCATAACTGTTGTACCTCATGTGGAATTATTTTATGATAGATCTATCTCGCGTTGTGGTTTTGTATCACATGGAACTACTTTTATGATAGATATATCTCAAGTGGAATTAATTCAAGGTGATTTTCAGCTCTTTCTTAGTCTGTTTACAATGTTTATTTTTCACGTAAAGTTATTTTATGGCTGTTCTCGTTCTCAGTGGGATTATTCTGAGGATATTGTATTCTGTTTTTTCATTTTTCTAATGAAGTGCTTCTAGAAAAATATCGTATTTTGGCCATTCCATACAGAAAAATATCGTGTAGCTTCAACACACAATAAAACCAAAATATGGATATCATTAGTAATTCTATCTATAAAGGAACATATAAAATGACCACTGATGAAAAAAAAAGCGCTTTAAACACCTCTTAGGTATGAGAAAATGTCGCACTCGTTGAGAAATTACTGTCTCTATAGAATGTGTTCCTTCCTTACTGCCCTTAAAGCAGTAGCGAGGAGGAGGAGGAGGAGGAGGAGGAGGAGGGGAAGAATGTATCAAGGAATTACCTTGATGACTCGTTACAGCAAGTGGGTAATTTATTTCGTGGCTGGGTCGATAGAAGAGTCTCGGAGGTACAGGGATTACCTTCCGCTTAGTTGATTACTTTTCATCAGCACCCACTTAGTTCCTCTGTTACCTTTAGCTGTGGGTTAAATTCTATTTCTTTTGTAGTTTTATATTTATTTTTTTTTTGTATTGAGAAAAGCGCGAATTACATTTTGGTCTCTTGTTATTATTAGACAGTGTGCCATATACGAAAAAATTCCTCCATACATGGGAATTTAATTTCGTATTTCATTTTTCAAATCTGAGACTTTCTCTGGCATTGTAATTCAGATTACTTTAAAATTCAATAAGATACGATCAAGATTTTTATTGAACAATTTTTAGATTTAGTCAGATTTTATCGCTAATTTGTTCCCTTCATCTTAGGATGATATTTCAAAATTTATTCTGCCAATTTTTATAAAATTTAACTTTTTTTTATTAAATTTTGGTGCAGCTTTACATTTTTTTTCATACTGGTTACTTCCGGTGGTATTTAATCTTAACTTCTTATTGAAATATTTTCTTGTAATTTAGCCTCATTGATATTATATTTGTCTTATCAAATTTTCTCGAAAAGTGATAATATTATTATGCTGTAAAATTTATTTCATTAATAATTTATTTTCCATTTACTATTGTAAGTTCTAATGAATTTAATGATTTTTTTCTGAAAACGAATTTAGATTTATTCTAAAATTCACATAAAAATGAATGGGATCTCTTGGTTGACTGTGTTGTTAATTGGGTTTGAACACTATCGACCACACGAAGGTCATTAAGGTTGCACTATCACCTGTTCACCATCCGTCATGAGAACTTTAAATCCATAAATAGGAAATTAAAGCAAACTCTCAGTATATATTTTCTGAGAGATATACATTTCACAAAGGAAATATGTGATTTTTTAATAGTATGTAAAAATATGTATTGTCAGTATTATTTCGATAAACGGAATTTTATTGATAATTTTAATATAAGTTTGAATGTAATTAAGGTTTTCTTTGTAATATATATTTCATTGATTAAATGATTGAATCGGAATTTTTCAAAACTTTTATTAAACATTCCTTTTTTTTCCAATAATGTTCATTTGTGTCAGATCTGTAGACTTTATACACACACACACACACACACACACACACACACACACACACACACACACACACACACACACACACACACACACACAAACAAGCATATTATATATATATATGTCGTGCCGAATATGTAAAACTGGTCAATTAGCAAGAACTCATTTAAAATTAAGTCCTTTCTAAAATTTTCTCTTATGCGTTTAAAGATATATTTTTTCATTAATGTTAATGTAAGAAAATTTAATTTTGCACCAAAAGAATCTTACAAAACTTACCTAACCTTATTATAACAAGAACAATTTATTTTAGCCTAACCAAACTATATATATTTTAGATTTGTTTACAATAATTTAATACTAAACAAACACAACGAAATATATTTTTTTCGTTAGGTTTAGAATGATTTTGGAGAAATTATTGCATACACAAATTTTCGCTTGTCCTATATGGCAAGATTAGCGTTGCTATTTAAGCCAAAATCGCAAGTTCTGCCTATTCGGCACGACATATGTATATTTATATATATATATATATATATATATATATATATATATGTTACATACATGAGCTAACTTCTGGTACTGTACTTAAAATTCAAGAGACGAAGCACTTTTAAGGCTGAGGATGTCCGTGAAAGACGGTGTACCGTTTTCCATCCATTTCATGAACATCCACACTGTTAAGAATTATGCGTCTTTAGAATTTAAAGTATATAGGAAGCCAACTCATGTAACAGTCGTCATAATCGTAGCAGCCTTGCCATATAAATTAATGAACAACTGTGGCCTGATTGTTATATAATATACAATGGTAACAATCTTCGTGTTAGCGAAAAATAATTTGTAATAATTTATTTCCTCTAAATGCTGTATAAAACTTTTGATGATGACAGCAGTGATGATAATTATGACTGTGATATTTATGATAATAATCTCACTGAAAATCCATTAGAAGTTGTCGATAATGATGGTAATTATTTCATCATATCAGCAAATTCTCATGATACACCCCCCCCCCAACACACACACATGCATTATGCAAAAAAAAAAAATCGCGAACAAGCGATGTATGATGCTAAACAACCTTTCAACTCCCCCTTGCAACCTTTCAACTCGAACACTGCAACCACAATTAGGTGAGTCACAACTGTAAGTTGAAAATTCAGATGAGTCTGAGGGATGTCAGGAAGTATTTCTTCAGTCATAGATTTGTCAGGAAGTGAAATAATCTGGAGAGTGATGAAGTGGATGTAGGATCCATACATAGCTTAAAGAAGAGATACGATAAAGCTCATGGACCAGGGAGAGAGTGGACCTAACAGCGACCAGTGAAGAGGCGGGGCCAGTAGATGTGACGGTAACCACACACACACACACACACACGGGGACAGGAGCTGTGAATCTACTGCAACCACATGTAACTGAGTACACACATACACCCATGTATACACACACATTTTTCCCAGGATGGTTCCGGAGCTGAAGAAGAAATATAAATATAAACTACGGATGCTTAACCTCAGATCTTAAGATACACAGATGTTCGCCTAGATAAGACAGCGTCACGAGAAATAAAACCGACTACACAGAAGGAAGTCGATATTTTTACAGTATAAGGGTTGAGAATAAGAGCGGTGGAGACAAATTTTAAACACAAAGACACAAGTTGAAGAATGAACTATACTTTTGACATGGTAGCGCTGTGTGCGTAGAATAATATCAAGTCATGACTCTGTGAAGATCAACATACAGAGAAACGTTGCCATAATAATAGGTTCTCCTGCAATTTGTGTCTTCATACTTGTGCCCAACAAGCTGTCTCAGTGACCGAGATAGGAAACATGAAATGGGCGAGGGTATTGTTACGACGATCAACTTGAGATTCCAGGGGCGAAGACAGGAGCTTGAGCTTTGCTCACGTAAAAACAAAAGAAAATGGAAAGTAAAGCCAATGAAAAGTGTGATGGTCCAGTAATAAAGAAAACTATTGTTTTTGTGGTTCCAGGGAGCTTGTCATAAGTGTCCTACGTCAGTGTGTGCCGGACTGCCGGCCGACAGCGCTCGCTACAGTAATTAATTACGTCGCTGTCTCTGCTGGGATTGATATTACGTTCTGATATTTCTCTCATATGATGCAATTTTTCTTTTGGAACATACTGGTTTATATTTTATATATATATATATATATATATATATATATATATATATATATATATATATATATATATATATATATATATATATATATATATATATATATATATATATATATATTTATATATATATATATATATATATATATATATATATATATATATATATATATATATATATATATATATATGTATATGTCGTGCCAAATATGTAAAACTGGTCAATTAGCAAGAACTAATTTAAAATTAAGTCCTTTCTAAAATTTTCTCTTATACGTTTAAAGATATATTTTTTTTCATTAATGTTAAAGTAAAAAATTTTAATTTTGCACCAAAAGAATCTTAGAAAACTTACCTAACCTTATTATAACAAGAACAATTTATTTTAGCCTAACCCAGCTATATATATTTTAGATTTGTTTACAATAATTTAATACTAAACAAACACAGTGAAATATATTTTTTTCGTTAGATTCAGAATGATTTGGGCGAAATTATTGCATACACAAATTTTCGCTTGTCCTATATGGCAAGATGAGCGTTGCTATTTAAGCCAAGATCGCAAGTTCTGCCTATTCGGCACGACATATATATATATACATATATATATATATATATTATATATATATATATATATATATATATATATATATATATATATATATATATATATATATATATATATATATATTATATATATATATATATATATATATATATATATATATATATATATATATATATATATATATATATATGCTTAAGCACAGTGGCTTGTGAAAATGTAGAACTCAGGCCTGATTCGAGGAATGGGAGCGTAGCTCCAGTTCCTTGGATCAAAACCCTAACCAAAACCTGCAGACTCTAAAAAATGTTATTCTGTCCAGTATCACCATTTCAAGGACATTTAACAATGTTGTTGCATAATACATTACAAGCATCTTAGTGAGACATTTATTAAGGCAAGTTTGTCTTAATGTCTGAAAGGAATTATGAATTTTTTATTTACCTAATTATTGTCGGTATTGCAACCAGTAATTAGACACAGTGTTATTGCCATTTATATGGACCTGCAGATTTTGCCATTTATGGGTGTTTTCTTAAGAGAAATATGAAGAACAAATTTGTAATCGGATTTAATTAGAACTTGAGGATAATGTAAGTGCTGATATGCTCAGTATGAAATAAAAACCGTCAAAAGCAAGTCTCAACACCACTGTATCCAGCTACTTTCTAACAGACATAAGTGTTACAGTACAGTGGGAGGAACATCGGCAGCAAATGAATCTTGGACTTCATTTCAGTCATTCCTCTACCATTATCAAGTCACAGGTATATAGGAAAATGTAGAAAGTTGAAAATAAGGTCAAGGCTGTGGTGGGATCGGTTATGTTGCAAAATATTAATAGAAAATTAGAGAGAGAGAGAGAGAGAGAGAGAGAGAGAGAGAGAGAGAGAGAGAGAGAGACAGACAGACAGACAGACAGACAGACAGACAGACAGACAGACAGAGAGAGAGAGAGAGAGAGAGAGAGAGAGAGAGAGAGAGAGAGAGATAGAGAGATTTACTCTACAACAGGCAACAGGGAATGTAATTAATTACTGTCGTATGTAGCTCTCTGCTTACCCTTAAGGTGGTTTTCCTAAGTCTCCTTCTGTACACATCAAAGACGTGTGGAGGACGAATGGTAAGAAGTGCATATCATCACTATTCTCTTGTGAGAGTCGTTTACGATGAATGACTGATAAACATATTAGTTATCAAAAATAAAAGTTGCAATACCACGACTGGAACAATTCACAATTAGTCACAATGCCGTGCCAAGCACATTTCACAACCAACCCACAATACTGTGGCTGAAATAATTTACAACTAACTCAAGGTTCATAGGTAAATTTTAACCATGCTTTGGTCCATCTTGGACTATTTTCGAGCCACTCACGAAACCTTATCTAAAGTTTTCTCTCTAAAGTGGGAGATAGCTGTTAATAAATTATTATGAGGGACTATACGTCTTTCAAAATCCTTCCAAGATGTAATACGTCTGTCAGTTGAATATTCAGTTGGCAATAAATTTTTAACATTTTTAAAATGGTGTAGGGAGAGGGGAGACATTTCGTCCTAAGATTTAGACCAACATAGTTTTAGTAGCCAATAGATACACAGTCACAAACTTTTCCGAAGCTAAGGAAATAGTTACCCTACTTAGGTCTTAGGGTGTTACTCAAAGAGGGTTAATCTGTCAATGTTTGTTTAGTAAAGATGAACAGGTATATATACTGAGAAGTGTACATGCGCTGAACATTGCTAGAAGGGTATATACATTTTAGAAATTTAATTTGTATTAGGCGGCAAGTTGCAGCCTTAATGACCAACATGCAGTCAAACATAACATAGACAGTAACATATACATAAGACTAGTTATTATTACTGTGGCTTCGAGATAATATCATTATTTTATTGCGTTTACACAGCGGGGACGTCAGCAGCAGCATTGCTAAGTAGGAGAGAGACAACGAACCAACAAGTAGACGAGAAGGAGGCATGAAGCAGCGTAATCATCTATTATAATAATGTTTCGCTCAGTGTAGTGCTTCAGCACGTCTTGACCTAATGAAGCTCTATGTAGAGCTAAAGGTTGTCATA